CAACAGTTTATATATAATATCCCCCTTCGGAAACGGGCGCTTACGACTCATAAAGTAGCCGGAACCGGGCGGGCGGCCACGTCGCGCGTTCGGCGGCGCGCGGCCGGCACCCTCCGTCTGTCCGACGCGGCGGCGCGCGGCGGCGCGTCCCTCTCCGGCCGCTTCCGGCCCGTCACGCGGACCAACACTTAATCCCCGGTCCGCGCGAATAATAAAAGGAATTTATGGCGCCAGCAACCGCCAGCCAGACGCAGATTCATCGTGTCAGATGACACCGAAGGAGCTTGCGCTTCCGCCGTCGTCGTCCGCACCACTTCGCCGTCGTCGTTATTCTTGTTTCCGCGCGCGTTTTTGAACTTTCCCGCGCGCGTGTCGCTGGAGCGACGCTGGAGGGGCGGAGAGTTATCGGCGGCCCGGCCTGCTTGCACTGCGCGGTGCCGCGGCCGCCGCAATGCAAGGCTGTTTGCACGTGTCGCCGCGGTTGGGGGGGGCAATGAATGAGACGGCGGACGGAAGCAGCGCTCATAGCTCAGCCGAGTCCGCGCCCGTGATTTACACATCACCGGCGAGATTTAAGGCCTGAAGATCGCGACGACTTAAACCCCTCCGCTCCGCGGTGGTGGCGGCGCGGCGCGGCGGAGCCCCTCCGGCTATCGCCCTCCCTCCCCAAATGGCGATGAGGGGCGGGGAGGGGGTCGTCTATTGCCGCGCCGACCCGGCAGGCAGGCGGATTGCAGGCCGTGGAATTCGCACTGACCGCAGCGATTAATTTAGTGTGCTGCCCCGCCCCGCCGGCCCACCCCGCCCCGCCGCACCTCACCCCGCCCCACCACGCTCCGCCACGCCCCCGCGCCGTCCATCCTGGGACGAGCAGGTGACCCGGGGGGCTGCAGGGCCTGCAGGGCCTGCTGGGCGACGCGACGGCGAGTTATACGGGCGGTGGATGTAGGAGGGTTGGCCGAGGTTGAGCAGGGGACCCGCTGCTTAAGTAAGCCGGGCCGTGTCGCTGCAGGCCGGCGGCTCCGACTCTGCCGCTCCAACCCACCTACCTCGGAATTGATTCTCTCGCCGACATCGGCGGGAGCGGTCCACATCTTTGTCATGGGCTTCGTCGTAGATTTGTTCCCCGAGCGTGCGGCAGCAGATTATTCAAACCATTGGACCGAGCCTTCCGTGTGTGGCGGCGAGTACCGTACTGGACCGCGGCCGCTGCAAGGCTGCTGCTCCAGCACTCGAGGCACGAGGCGCTGGCCTCAGCATGTCCCCGACGTCGTCGCCGACGCGGCCGAGGCCGCCAGTGACTGCCGCTGCACGCGCTGCACGCTGCGCCGCACCGCCGCACCGCCGCACCGCCCAGGGCGCCTCCAAGTCCCCGAGGACGTCCCACGGCCGCAGCAAGCCGCAGCAAGCAGGCCGCCGTCCTGGACGGTCCTGGAGGGCGACTCCATCAGCGCCTCGGAAGCCGCGGCCACTATCCGAGATGGCGCGGCCGCGTTTCGCGGCGGCTGCCCTGCAAAGCAGCAAAGCTCTGAAGGCTGTCGCTTCGGCCGCGCGCTCGCTTCACGTCACCATGACGTCACCCAGGCGTGGGATTGGCGGCTCAGCGACGCACAGTGGGCCAGAAGACCGGCGGAGGCGGCCAGAACTCTCGACGCGTTTTGAGCTCCAGAGTCGCTGAACAGGACTCGAACCAAACTTGTGACCCCACCAATGGTAAGCTCGTTCGGAGAGCAAGCCATTGGTGGGATCACACGTTCGGTTCGAGCGACTCCGGAGCTCAAAACGCGCCTAGAGTTTCGACCGCCTCCGCCGATCTTCTGGCCCACTGTGCGACGGCCGGGGCGACACGCCAGGGCGCCACGACGCCGCTGTATCGGGGGCCGTGTTGTCGGATTGGGACCGGTTGGAGGGGAGGGGGGGGCGGCTTCATTTCATGGAATCCCTCGCGTCGTTGCGGCGGCCCGGCCCTTGGCCCGGCCCTTGGCCCGGCCCCGGTGGGGCCGCAGCCGGCGCGCATCCTCAGCTGCGCGTGCGCCCAGGCTGCGCCCCCTCCACGCGCGCCGCCGCGGCCCGCGCCCACTTTGAAGCCCTTTGAGGCCCTCTTTGTGGCGGCCGGAGCAGCCATGCTGTTGCCGCTCTGCCGCACCTGATGAGGCCAAGCCCCACTAATTAATTGAGTCCTGCTGCACAACTTCCTGGAGCTGCTCGCGGCCATCGAGTTCTTTGTGTCTGTCCGCGAGCCCCGCCCCTTCCCGCCCGTTCCCACGACTGCCGCGGCCTCGGCGACAAGCCTCTTAGCATGGACGGGGTGTGATTAAAAATTGAACGCGGAGCCGGAGTCTCTGCCTCTCTCTCCCTCCCGCTCTCGGCGGGCATCCTTCGCGCTCCCTCCCCGTGGACCGCTTACTCCAGACCTTTCTTTTTCCTTCCGTCCGCAGCTGCTGTTGTTTGGCCGCGTCTTGGCGTCGTGGTTTGGGGCTTTACTTACCGAATGGAAATAATCCCTCTGTGAATCCATTCCCCGCGCACCATGCGCCTTTTTCCGACCGTTTTGTTGTGCAGAAATGATGGTTTCCCGGCGCCCTCGTCGCCCGGCGGCGGCAGCCCAGCCCAACCCGGCCTGCGAGCGAGCAGCGAAAGCAGCGAAAGCAGCGCCGCCTCGGCGGACAAAGCCTCGCTGCAGCCTGGCATTCCCTGCAGACTCATTCCGAGATTCGCTTCCGTCGCTCTGTCTCGCTCGCAGTCAAGGGGCGTCCCCTTTAGGAGCGAGAGAGACAGGAACGTGAGAGACGCAAACGACTCTCGGCATCAGTCTCAGGCTCCGCGCGCGCGGCGCACGCACTTTACTGCGTCGGCGGCTGGAGGCGGTCTCCAGAGGCGGTAGGCTGAAGGTCGAAAGGGTGTCACACTGTCACCTACCGAAAGTCAGGCGGCGTGCGGCGTAAGCCCGATCCGAAGTTCGGATAGTCCCGGCTTGAAACTTGCGGTAGTATCAGCTGCATCTCTCCCCTCTCCCTCCCTCTAGTTAAGCGCCGCCTTCCACACACCTCGCTCGGTCTGGGGGGCCACCTGCTGTTCAAGGCGCGGCGCCACCCGCGCCACGCGGGCACATGTAATGCCGCCAAGTTGGCGCGGGGGCGGCGCGGGGGCGGCGCGGGGGCGGCGCGGGGGCGGCGCGGGGGCGGCGCGGGGGCCGTGGCAGAGCCATCCGAAGGGACTTGGCGACAACTTCCAGCCGCGCGCTCCGCCGCTCGAACGTGCAGCGGCAAAAATGACTCGCCGACAACTTTTGCCGGGATACGAATGAAATGAACCAATTTTGGAAAACGCGTGCGTTATCGGCTAGAGGGGGGGAGCGAGAGAGAGACAGAGGTGTGTGTGTGTGTGTGTGTGTAGGTGTGTGTGTGTGTGTGTGTGTGTGTGTGTGTGTTCGCGCAACACGCCCTAATACCGCAAGGGGTGGAAGCCGTGGCCTTTTTTTTCTTCCTCAATAAATTCCAACTCAAATCCGCGCGCCGCGTCGCTCGAGCGTTTGCTCATCCACCCGTCCATCTCTCTCACTCTCCCCGCCCGTCCGTCTGCCCTCCTTGTTTCCGGCCTGAGTTACGAGGCCCATAACGACATTCAGACGGCCAGGCCCGGCCAGGCCGCCGTGTACTTGTTGAGGTTCGTTAACCTTCTATGTGTTCGGCGAATATGTCGGCGCATAACTCGCTCAGTCGCAGTGCGGGCATCTGCACCTCATGGCCCAGTGCGAGAGAGAAGGGGAGCGCCATCAAGTGCAAGCAGCATCGGCCCGAAACAAAGACAACGAATGACGGGCGCGCGTGGCCGTGGCGGCCGCGGCGGGCCGCGCGGGGCAAAAAGCACCCCTCCGCTGATACTCAACGACCCATTAAACGATTCGCGGGGCTGCCGGGCCGCCGCACTCGGCGACAATGAGGAGTAACTCAGTACCCAGTCAGCGTGGGGCGACAGAGAGGGAGGGAGGGGCTGGGCGCGCCGAGCCGATGACCGAATCTGACGGACTGGCACGCCCCTGGCACGCCCCTGGCACGCCCCTGGCACGCCCCTGGCACGCCCCTGGCACGCCCGGGCGGCCCAGCTGTTTGTTTTGCAAATTGATTTTCTGGAAAACAGGAGTCTCATTTAGTGACGCCACCGCAGCCTCATTCCCAGGCTGCCAGCGCGCTGAAAGTGCGGCGGCCTCGGAATGGGCATAGCGGCCGGCACGCCCCGCCCCGCCGGCTTCCTGGCCTCGCCGCCGCCGCGCCGTGAGTTCGGACTGCTCCTCGCGCTGCCGCCAGCGTCCCGGAAGGGTGCGACAGAGACAGGCTCTCGGAATCAGCCTGCTGGCGTCTGGTCTAATTGCCGAAGCGATTCCGGGCGCGTCGCAGCCGTGCGGCAGCCATACGGCAGCAAGGCGGCGAGGCACGAGTTGCCGGCGACGACTCCACGCAGCGCGAATCCGAATGCCCTGCATGCGGGCTGCTGCACTAGCACTCGGTGCCGCCTGCAGCGAGGCTGGCAGGGTAGAGGGGGCATGTATGCCTGAAACGCGACACCGAACACGTGCAGGCCGTGGCTCTTAAAGGGCACGCGTCGGCACGCGTTACATGCGACGTCTGATACACGGTGTGTGGCAACGGTCAAGAAGTGATGCTTGTGGGAACAGTGACGAAAATCCCTGCAGGATGTTGCGAGTGGCCCCAAGGGCCCCCAGGGCCGTGGTGCTGCTGGCTGTGCAGCAGGGGGCAATCATCGAGGTCAATACCCCATCATAGATCACTGCCTCCGTGGCGTCCTCCCGGCAGTTGCCCGCAGTTGGGCCACAAATTGCCACGTTGCCACGTCCGCCAGGCCGGCCGGCAGCGTCCTTCCTTTTGTTTGTCTGTACCGTTGTGTTTGTTGCAGACCGGGACTTCTGGTACGAGGAGGCCCGCGCGTCCCTGCGGCAGCGGCTCAGCCTGGCCGGGCAGACGCGGCCGGCGCCGCGCGCCAAGAACGTCATCCTGATGGTGGGCGACGGCATGGGCGTGTCCACGGTGACGGCGGCCAGGATCCTGCGCGGCCAGCGGCAGGGCCGGCCCGGCGAGGAGGCCACCCTGGCCTGGGACCGCTTCCCCACCGTGGGCCTGGCCAAGGTAAGGAAGGCCTATTTCCCGGACCAGAGATTACTCTCTTTGGCGGCCAGATCAATAGACCCCCGGGGCACGCGAAATACGCACCCGGCGCACACATTGAGAGCCGTTTTATTCTGTGTATGGCAGAAATAATTACACCGGAACGGACTTTTTTTTTCGTTTTGCGTGTTCTCATTTTTTTATTGCTTTATTGCTGAGCAGAATCGAGAAAATGCAGAAAATTGGACACGCCGCGTCGTGTAGCGCGAACCCCGGCCGATTCCAAAGAGTGTCGAGTTGGTGGGCGTCCGTGGCGTGTCGGCGTGGATTCGGCGCCTCCAGGCCACTCCAGCCAACTCGCCACCGAATAAGGCGGTGGCAATGGGGGAAACTAGGCCGGAAATAACGCGGTGGCAATGGGGGAAGCTAGGCCGAAAATAACGCGGGTCACGGCTCTTGCAGCGCATGGGGCTTAAATTAGAGAGGCATCATGCAATTACCGGTAGCCAGCTCGGCGATACTTCTTCTTCTGCTTCTTTTGTTTTGTTGCTTTGAGTCACCAGACAATGTGTTCGCATGTGTGTGTGTGTGTGTGTGTCCCAGGTGTTCGTGAGAGGCAGAGACGGTAATCCCCTAACCGCCGGTCTTTGTGGGAGGCGTGTGACTGCGTCGTTTTGTCACTCCTGGTCACCCCTTCCCCCCCCCCCCCCTTCCGGTTTTCCGTTCTCCTTCCCGCGCTCTTTTCCCTTTCTTCTCCAGCCGATTGATTCTCCGAATCAGTGCCTTCGCCGGGCTGCTCCGGGCCGCGCCCCGGCCGCGCCTCCTCGCTGCTGATTGGAACCGCGGTGGACAAATGGCGTGATTGGAATGGGGAACACATAGTGCGACAACATGTGCCCCAGATTAAAGGAGGCAGGCCGAGGCAGGCCGGCAGGCCCTCTTCTTTTATTTCCTGTTCCCCTCGCGCTTTTTTAAGGCACGAAGTGGCCTTGCAGCCTCATCATGGTTGTTTTTTGTTTGTTTGTTGTTTTTCTTTATTTTTAAGAATGGAAGGTGTATGCTGATAGGTCGGCCCCGTGGCAAATGCTCCAGGAGTGACATTACCACAGCTGGAGAAATGCTCTTGGCCTGGAGAAATGCTCTTGGGTGAAAAATGCTCCTGGCCGGTCGAAATGCTCTACGCGCCATCGACATTGTAATACGACCCCGACCAGACGCAGCAGTAGGCTAGAACTTGTCCAAAATGATGCTAGTCCGTCCGTGCGTTGTCCGTGCGTTGTCCGGGCGCTAGCGGAACTCCGGGGGTGCGACTCTACACTGTAAATGTCTTACGGTGAAAGGCTGCACCAACATATTATGGTAGGGATTTTCTCCATAATACCAACAAAATTCGTCAAAATATCTATAAGGTACAGTGAATTCTCAATGGTATGTTACAAGGTCAGCTACCACCATAATATGGAACATTTTCACCATAATATGGAGAATCTTCACTGTAGAACATTTAGAGTGTAGTGAACGCACCCCCCGGGCCTTGTGCCTGTTGAGGAGAAGCTGTCTCTGCCGGGCCGTGACTGTGCCCTGGCTGTGCCCTGGCTGTGCCCTGGCTGTGCCCCGGCGTAGCCCGGCCTGGTGATGGATTAGCTCGAGGAGGGGGCTCTAACCTCGTGAACCTGGTGCAGCCTGGGCACGTAGGGCCGGGGCGACACGCGGCGAGCACTCCGCTTTTATTGCAGACACACTCACACATGTAAGCGCGCGTGTGTGTGTGTGTGTGTGTGTGTGTGTGTGTGTGTGTGTGTGTGTGTAAAAAGAGCGCACACAAGCGCGACAGGGCTCCCTTCTTCCTCACGCACACACAGCAAACCGATGGGCAGTTTTCCTTACACAAAACAAACCTCGCCTCGCGAGGCGCGTGCACCGTAACCTAATTCGCCAAACTTTCTGCTAAGTAAGTGGTGGTGTGTGCGGCTTGGGGTCGCGCAGTGCTCCGTCTCCTCTGGCGGGGCGGGGCGGGGCGGGGCGGGGCGGGCGTCCCCCCTCAGGCTTCCACTTAGTCGATCGTAAGACAATTGGGGGGGGGGCTGCTCGTGTGCTGCTCGCAGCCCCCCACGGCCCCGCGGCCCCGCGGCCCACGCTATCTGTCCGGAGGCATCGCCAAGGCTTCGCCGTGCTGCGGTTCGCTCCCAATGTGTTCCCGTCTCTCTTTTTATTCTGGCCGCTCTGCCCGCTTTGTTCCTCGCCGCTGTCATTCCGCGTTCGCCCGACCGTTCCTCCCCTCGACCCGCGAGGGGTCCCGCGAGGGGGCGGCCAAACGGATACGACGCGCCGCGGAAAGTGTTTGCTGTTTTAGCCCAAATGTGCATCGCGCGCGCGTGGTCGAGGATTCGATCGCGGCGAAAAGGAGACCGCGGGATGAATAATTCCCCCCCCCCCCCTCTCTCTCTCTCTCTCTCTCTCTCTCTCTCTCTCTCTGTCTCTGTCTGTCTGTCTCTCTCTCTCTCCCGGGGGCTCCCAGGCTTCCACCCCTGGGTCGCCGCAACAAAAGGCGCCGCTGCTCCGGCGTGTTAAAATTCGCACGAACGCGCGCGGGGAGATATAAAACTTTGAGGCGCTCAGATATTTTTAATAAAGTCGCTCTTGATCGCTCGCTGCGCTGGCCGGGCCTTGGCGGGCTTGGCGGGGGCTTGCCCGGCGTTGCAGGCGCGGGCCGAGGCTGAGCCTCGCGAGCTTCGGCCGCGCGCTGCGTTGCTGCGCCGGCCGGCCCCACTAGGCCGGCCTCGGCGCCGCGGCGCGGCGTATAATAGACTTGTAAAACCGGCACTGCCGCGCCCTTCCGCGCCGTGCCGCCATGCTGTTTGCTTACTTTGGGAACGGCTGCCGCCAGCGCGGCCGCGGCCGGGTGAAACTGCACCAGGCGCCTCGGGGGTGGTGGCAGGCGCACCGACGGAGAGAGGGAGAGAGAGAGAGACAGAGGTGTGTGTGTGTAATGTGTGCGAATGTGTTCCTCGGGTAGTCTTTCTGATTCCCATGTGTGCGTTCGTATTTTGTCTGTGGTGTTTTTCGGTGGGGTTGTTTGTCCCCCGTTGGCGGCCGTGCCGCAGGCCGCGCCGCGGGCCCTGCACTTGTGCAGGCTTCGCCAGGCGAGGCGATGGATTACGGCCGCGCCGTCCGCGCCGTATTACGAACGACGCCCGAGGGAGGCGCGCGCCGCCCGGAAGGACCGCCCCGGGACCGAGCGGCCACCAGCAGACTGATTCCGAGAGTCGTCCTGGTCGCTCTGTCCCTCCCGCACCTCTACGGGACGCCCCATAAGTGCGAGGGAGGCAGAGCGACGACTCCGGCCGGACGGACGGACTGCCCTAACTGGCGGCCGGCCTGGCGGCCGCAGCGTTTGAGTCGGTTTGGCCGTCAGTTTAGCCGCGCTGGGCCGGGCCGGGCCTGCCGCCCCTATCCTGGTGCGAAAACCTGCGACCTGGTTTCAAAACTTGCGGCAAGGGGGGATGGTAGACGTCAATTGGGATTCGGATGGAAAAGCAGAAGCGGAACCCAAATACTGCTTATGAGATGGCTTGAATTTACAGTTGGTCTTATTATTTTTCGTAGAAATACTCAATAGTGGTGCTTAGAGGTACCTAAAGTTTAACAATTAAATATCATCAAGCGCTTTATAAAGCAGGAGTTCCTTACAGGATGTGCGGTTAGAAGGTTTTCACTCAATCATTTTAAAATTCCTGGGCAACGGGAAATTTTCTCCCCCAATGGGAATGTCAGGGAGCCGAGCAGTGCAGGGGCCGGTAGGGGCGAGGCTCCTACACTGGGGCGGCCAAGAAAGTGGCCTCCACGGACTGGCGCGGACTGGCCATGCCGGCGGCGAGGTCCGGCCCGAGGCCTGCCGCGGCCCCATAATGTAAGCGAGTTGTTGTCAAGTTTCCTGGGCGCTGTGAACGAGTCAATCTGACACAGGCGGCGGTGGTTTTACGCCCGTCCCTAACTTTTCCGGCCAATGGAAAAGTTGCGAGGGAAGACGCTCTGTGGTGCCTGGCCAGGGCCAGCCGGGGCGACTAGCGACTGCTAGCCTTGACGTATGCAGGGCGCGGGGGGAGCGGCAAACTTTCACAAAGGTCGAAGGGGGGGGGGGAGTGGGCAGCAGGGGCTGGAGAGAAATAAAGGGATGTAACCTTCCACACAAAACAACGCCTGGGGCATTAGGGCAGGAACAGAGATTTCGGACCACTCATCCCCTGGCTGCTTCCAAGGGCAACTTCTTCGGGAAATGAGCCGAAACGCCGTGCCCGGCCGTGCCGCCACCGCCGAGTGGCTGGCGGAGTGGCCCTCGTCTCCACGATCGGACATGAAAGTTGGCGGTAATTCCGACGGGACGTAGTACTCTCCTCCCAACCGCTCTCTCCTCCGGGGCCCTAATTAAAAACATAAAGACGGAGGAAAAACGAGGGAAGCTGCTTATAAAAGGGAAGTGGTATCGGTGCCGCGCCGCCGCCACCGCCGCGTGTAGGTTTTCCTGCCGAGACGAAGTGTGGACAGCTCTGTAATGCAAAGTGATTATGAAACTGTCTGTGGGCTGGAACGGGCGGAGTTCTCTGCGAACTTGCGAAAGCAGATTCCGGCACAGCCGTGTACACCTTGCTGCGGGGCGGCGAGGGGCGGGGCGGGCCACCCGCGTCGGTGTTACGAGTGTTGGTGGTGGCAAGACTGTTACGAATCCCACTTACCCCGCCGCCCTCACGGGGCCCTTCCCCGATCACTAGGCTCGGCACTTTCCAACTCGGATCCGCAGGGGCTTTCGGGCGCTCGGAGTCTGAAGGGGTCGCGTCGCGCCGCGTCGCGTCCCGCCCTCCCTGACCTCACTCTTGTTTTATCCCCGCCGCGTCGACATATTTGTGTTTTCTTGGGCCGATTCTTTGCTGATTGAATGCGGGCCCGGCAGACAGGAAAAACAGCGGTAGAGATGGATCGGAAAAGGAGTGGCGGGGCGAGAAGTTTGAAAATGAGCTTGAATGGTGTTTGTTTTCGGTTGCAGACGTACAACGCTGACGCGCAGGTGGGCGAGTCGTCGGCGTGCGCCACGGCCCTCATGTGCGGCGTCAAGGCCAACTTCGAGACGGTGGGGCTGGACGCGCGCGCGCGCTTCGAGAACTGCGGCTCGACGTACGCGTCGCGCGTGCCGTCACTGCTCTCGTGGGCCCAGCAGGAAGGTGCGTGACACGCGCGTGTCGTCCAACAAAAACAAACCAACGGACCCACGTCACATGTTGTTCTTTGGTGCAGGCAAGGCGACGGGCGTGGTGACCAACACGCGGCTCACGCACGCCACCCCGGCCGCGCTGTTCGCGCACGCGGCGTCGCGCTACTGGGAGGACGACGGCAAGGTGCCCTCCAGCAGCCGGCGCGTGTGCAAGGACATCGCGAGGCAGCTCGTGGAAGACGAGCCGGGCCGCTCCGTTAACGTGAGTCTCTCTCTCTTTGCCGTCCCGGCCATTTGGTCCCTTTTTCAGTCTTCCGGACACGCCATGATTAATTTCCGCGTCGCTCGCGGCGGTGCGACTGGCAGTACTGGTCTGACGCGCCCTGCCGCGCCCTGCCGCCCGGTGGGTCTTGCCGAAGCTCGGCCGAGGCAGTGATTAGGGGAAAATGAATGAATCATCCCTTGGCTCGCGAGACAGCGGCGCCCTCTGCAGGTGGGCCGTGAATAACGCGCCGCCATCGCACAGTGGGCCAGACGACCGGTGGAGGCGGACAAAACTCTAGAGGCGTTTTGAGCTTCAGAGTCGCTAAATGGGACCCCACCAATGGACTGCTTTCCGAACGAGGAATCCATTGGTGGGGTCACACGTTCGGTTCGAGTCCCATTTAGTGACTGGAGCTCAAAACGCGTCTAGAGTTTTGTCCTCCTCCACCGGCCTTCTGGCCCACTGTGCATCGGCCGGGACGAACCGAGACGGAAGGCGGAGTAATTGCTAATCGGGCTGGGGGCCGCAAAAACGGCCCGAGGCTTTCCACGCGGACTGGCATTCGTCTCGAACTTCAAACTCGGCCCGAATCCGACGCGTGAGGGTACCAATGGATCGCCCTTCGAACGAGGAATCCAGTGGTACCCTCCCGCGCGTTCGATTCGAGGCCATAGAGCTCCCAGCGTCGCTAGAGTTATGTCCGAGTAGGAGCGGGTCGGCCCAGTGTTAACACTGGGATTCTGCGGCGCGGGGCCGGCCAGCCAGCACGCCAGCCAGCACGCCAGCCAGCACGCCAGCCAGCACGCCAGCCAGCACGCCAGCCAGCACGCCAGCCAGCACGCCAGCCAGCACGCCAGCCAGCACGCCAGCCAGCACGCCAGCCAGCACGCCAGCCAGCACGCCAGCCTGCACGCCAGCCAGCACGCCAGCCAGCACGCCAGCCAGCACGCCAGCCAGCACGCCAGCCAGCACGCCAGCCTGCACGCCAGCCAGCACGCCAGCCAGCACGCCAGCCAGCACGCCAGCCAGCACGCCAGCCAGCACGCCAGCCAGCACGCCAGCCAGCACGCCAGCCTGCACGCCAGCCAGCACGCCAGCCAGCACGCCAGCCAGCACGCCAGCCAGCACGCCAGCCAGCACGCCAGCCAGCACGCCAGCCAGCACGCCAGCCTGCGCCATAAAATTGAAGGATCGGCTCGCCGCTGCCGCGGCTTGATGGCATGAAATGAAATTAATTATTCGTATTGTTCGGTGGGGATAATTTACAAACATGCGGACGTTACAATGGCCGTGGCCGCAGTGCCTGCAGTGCACCCAGCGCCGCTTCCTTACTCGCCGTGGCCACACCATCGGTGTGGGTAGGGCCGGATGACCCACAGTGGGCCCGAAGACCAGTGGAGGCGGTTGAAAACTCTAGACGCATTTTGAGCTCTAAATTCGCTAAGCAGGACTTGAACCAAGCCTGAGCCCCCACCCATGGATTCCTAGTTCGAAGAGCTATCCATTGGTATGGGGTCACACGTTTGGTTCGAGTGTCACTTGGCGACGCTGGAGCTCAAAGGCGTCTAGAATTTTTGCTGCCCCCACTGGCCCACTGTGCGACCCCTAGTGCTGCTGGAGGCTGTCACTTTCATTGGGATAATCAGTGTCCGCGTTTTGTTCCTCCGCCCTTCGGGCCTTGCGGGCCTTGCAGGCCCTGCGGGCCGGTAATCGGATATTGTACTACACTGGCCTGCCGGCCTGCCCGGCCCTCAGCGGCGTGGATTTGACACGGAGGGGAAAATGGCTAAAAGAAAGCGGGGAAAGAAATGAATGAAAAGGAAGGCAGAAGCCGCGCCGCAGAGCGTTCCATTTATCACAGTCCAAGTTTACATTAATTAGACTTCCTCTAACGCAATTGTTGAAGACTAATAGCACGATACGCGCGCCTTGATACTTTTAGTGCCCCCACCGCGCGCGCGCGCCGGGAGTTCAAGTGGGCGTTGAGGGCGGCGGGCGGCGAGCCCCTGCCAAGCGCAGGGTAGGCCGGCCCGCCACACACGGCTCCGCCCGCGCGGCCTACCCGCCGGGCGCTAACGCGATGCTCGGCTGGGCCGCTGTCTCCACTTGCCTCGCTAATGTCCCAGCGGAGAGGCAGGCGAAGGCAGGGCTAAGGCAGGCCCGGCGCGCACCCTCTCCGGTAAACGGGAAAGGGCTTTCTGAAAGGTTTCCCAGGTGCACGCCGCTGCTCTCGTGTTGCTCGCGGCGACACGAGACTGCCAGGCTGCAGTGCTGCCTCGGCGTCTAGTGTGTGCTGGCGGCGGTCCCCGCGGGCCGCCACGCGTGGCGCTGCTGCAGCACGACGTCGACGGCGTGCTCGCGCATGCTTATTGTCCTCGCGGAGGCCCGGCAGTGCACGCGGCAGTGCGCGCGGCATGTCGACGAGCCAATGCGCGCTTTGTCCCGCAGCCAATCACGACCCCGAGCACGCCGACGAGCGCCAGGTGCGCTCGGTGCGCGGTCGGCATGGCCTGCAGGGCCTGCATGGCTCTCGGTGCCAATTAACGACGCGCAGCGACCACGGCAAGCGCCGGGACAAAGAGGGCCGTTTGCGCCGCGCGACTGCCATACGCGGCGACCACTTTTACCCGCGCCGCCGGCAGGCTGTCTGTCTCTCTTGCTCCCTCGCACGACGCCCCCATGAGTGCGAGAGAGACAGAGAGCAACTCCGAACAACAGCCGCCGCCACCGCCGCGTCTCGCATGGCATGGCGCAGGTTGTGCCAGCGGCCGCACCGAGTGAAACACTCAAACACACACACTCAAACACACACGCACACACGCACACACGCACACACACACACACTCAAACACACACACGCACACACGCGCACGCACACACACACACACACACCACGCAGCAGGACGAGCACGGCGGCAGTAAAACGTAGCGCGCGCTCCGCCGTGGTGTCGCGGCGTGTCGCGGCGTGCAGCCAAGGCCGCTGCAGCGCGCATTGACTTCGGAGCCCCTCGACGCGGCGGCGCGGCGGCGCGGCCCTCCCCGTGGAGCTCGACGGCGTGCTACGTGACGACAGCCGAGGACGAGGGACAACGCCAGCAGCGGGCCGGGCCGGCGGCACTCTCACAGTGGCGGTGCATTCGTGGTTGTTGGCGGCGAAGGAAGAAGTCGGCGGCGTTGATGGCGTTCCATATTAGGGGCGCCGACGCGCGCTGACGGCCAAGTTGGTCCGCCACGTTGGCCGCGCTGCCGGCCACGCGGCGGCGTCGAGGGCGGCGGGCCGGGCACGCCGGCGGCGAGGTCCCTGCCTTTGGAAGATAAAGCCCAACTCGATACGGGCGGTGGCGGCGGTGCCGCTACGGGGAAGTCAGTCAACAAACAACCGACTTTTCATGTGTTTGCTCGGGGAACACTCGTGTATGGAACTTGCCGCCATCGACTCGACGACGTCGTCCAGGAGCGGCGCGCTGCTGCAGCATGCTGGCGCGCTGGGCCGGCCAAACTGTGACCGGGAAGAGAAAGAGAGTGCGGGGAACTGCCGCCGGCGCGCTGCGGACCTCGCCAGGACCAACGCGGGTGCTCAGCGGGAGCAACAACGCACACTGTGGGCCAGAAGACCGGTGGAGGTGGCCAAAACTCTAAGCGCATTTTGAGCTCCGGAGTCGCTTAATGGTGACTCGAACCGTACGTGTGACCCTACCAGTGGATTGCTCTCCGAACGAGAAATTCATTGGTGTGGTCACATGTTCGGCTCGAGTCCTATTTAGCAACTCTGGAGCTCATAACGCGTTCAGAATTTTGGCCGCCTCCACCGGTCTTCTGGCCCAACTGAGCACCGCAGGAACACTTGCAGGTGGGCGTAACTTCGCACAGGCCTTGACCCGAATCGTTCACACCGAAAGACGGCCGGCGGGACGTGAACGGAGACGCCCCCTCACAGTGGCGCGAGACGGTCACGGTGTAGAAACGCTACATCGTGCTGCCGGCATACCTGGCAAGTAATCAGCATCGCCGCCGCTCGCCTCGCCACCACACTGCCACACGTCCCCCCACTCCACCCGAAGAAGAGAGACAGCGCGGAGGCGCGGCTGGCAGGCAGGCAAGCTGCGGGGCCTGCGGAGCAAGCTGTGATGCTAATAAAAAGACGGGTGCGCTGACTGACAGACGGACGGATTTATTTTCTTCTTCTTTATATTCATAACGCCTGGGACTGTGGAGGAGGCTCTCCGCGGGGCGCGCCGAGTGGGTGGTGGCTGGGCAGCAGCGTGATGAGGAGCTGGATTAAATTAGGTGTGATGCACGCAACATAGTCTAGTCTGCCTGCAGGAAGCGCTGCTGGCGCTGCTGGAAGTGACGGCGCGCTCTCCGTGGCCAACAACAAGCAGGCCGTCGGGGAGGCACGACTGCGGGCACGACTGCGGGCACCGCGCCGCCCTGCCGTCCCGTTTGCCAATCGGCCGGACCGGACCGGCCGGCCGTTGGAACCAATGGCGCGCTTCTTATGGACCGCTAATAATTCAAGGCGGGGCCGGCTGGGCCGGCGGGGAAGAGGGTGGGGACGCGACACGGCCGACAAGCGCGCCGGCTTCCCCTTCATGGTGCTCCTCTCCTATTACGACTACAGCCGTCCGACACGGCGGCGGCCCGGGGAGGGGGAGGGGGGGGCGAAACAAGTCGAAAGGTCGACCCAGATTACGGCGGTCGACATAAACTATCGCGAGTTAAATACGAGTGTGTGTACCGTCCCGTTACGCCTTCACGGCCCATTAGAGCAGCCCGAAAAGGGTGGAGGGGATTGGCCGTGCATCGCACTGCAGTGTGCGCGCACAAAGGGGGCGGGGGCCCCACCGCGGGGCACTGGACGCCTCGCAGTGGCGTGCCTCGCGGTGTCGGCACTCGGGTGCCCTGCAAGCGTAATTTGGGGCTTTTCGAGCCGCCGCGCCGGGCGAGGTTGTTGTCGAGAGGCCCGGCCGGCACCGCGTGGATGATGCACGCGGACA